TATTTAAAAAAAAAAATCTGTAATAATATGATATATTATTACAATTTATTATATTAAATATTTTAAATATTATATTCATATTTGAATATATTTTAAAATGTAATTTATTCCTGTGATGGTAAAGATTTTCAGCATCATTACTCCAGTCTTCAATGTCACATTGTCTTCCAGAAATCATTCTAATATGCTGATTTGCTGCTCAAGAAACATTTCTGATTATTATCAATGTTGAAAACAGTTGTACTGCTTCATATTTTGTCGGAACTGTGATACATTTTTTTAAGGATTTTTTTGATGAATAGAAAGTTCAAAACAACAGCTGATATTTGAAATAGAAATATTTGTAACATACTAAATGTTTCACTGTCACTTTTGATCAAATTAATTCGTTCTTGCTAAATAAAATGATTAATTTCATTTAAAAAATCTTACTGACCCCATGCATCATCATATATCTGAAAATAACGCTCTAGTAAATGTCAAGCTGCTGTGCTGTAGTGTGTAAAAAAGCTGTGCCGGTCTGGCAAGGTCTGTTGGGAAGGGTGTGGCTGCTGTCTTACTAAATGTGTCTTGTTCCCTAAAACACACACACACACACACACACACACACACAGAGAGAGAGAGGCCCATCACAGACTACATCGACCAGCAGTTTGAGCAGTACTTCAGAGACGAGAGTGGACTGAACAGAAAGAACATATTAGACAACAGAGTGCACTGCTGCCTGTACTTCATCCCGCCGTTTGGACACGGGTACGAGCGGGTGTCACGGGTCTGTCTCATATGGGTCAGGTTCATATGCATCATCTTCCCATTTGCATAATCAGCCTCGGACCAAGATGTAGATGAGTTTGTTTCTTCATCAGATTTGGAGAAATGTAGCATTGCATCACTTGTTCACCAATGGATGCTCTGCAGTGAATGGGTGCCGTCAGAATGAGAGTCCAAACAGCTGATAAATCATCACAATAATCCACACCACTCCAGCCTATCAGTTAACGTCTTGAGAAGCCAAAAGCTGCATGTTTGTAACATGCAAACAAATACATGTTTTTTACTTCAAACAGTTGCTTCCAAGTCCATAATCCATAATACTGGTTTCTCCAGTGAAAAGTTTGTCTCATCTGAATCAGGAGAGAAATCTGCACAGATCAAGCACCGTTTACAAGCCAAAACAGCTCTAAACAAATGTATCGGTGGATTTTGATGTGAAGGACCACAGGAGATGGACTTTTTCCACTGCTTTACTATGGATTATGGACTCATATTTTGGCTAGAAGCAACGACTCAAGGTTAAAAACGTCTTAATGATGGATCTGTTTCTTACAAACACACATCTTTTCACTTCACAAGACATTAACTGGTGGACTGGAGTAGTGTGGATTACTTGTGGATTATTGTGATGTTTTTATCAGCTGTTTGGACTCTCATTATTGACGGCACCCATTCACTCCATTGGTGAGCAAGTGATCTGATGAAGAAACAAACTCATCTACATCTCGGATGGCCTGAGGGTTAACACATTTTCAGCAAATTTTCGTTTTCGGTGAACTATTCCTTTAACAAACTGACTCGCAGATGTGAATTCAGGACTTCAGAACATATATTTTTTGTAAAAAGTAAACATATTTGACTTCCAGGTCTTGCATCATGAAAGGCGATTAATGCAAAAAGTATTTAATGCATAATTAGAGATGGAGTTAGCACCAGATATTCAGAGACTGTTATTTCTGCCGTGCAGTTTGCGGCCGGTGGACGTGGAGTTCATGAAGGCTCTGCATGAGAAAGTCAACATCATTCCTCTGATCTCTAAAGCGGACTGTCTCACTCCTAATGAGGTCAAAAAGCTGAAGGACAGGGTGAGTGCACACTATCTGATCGCATCTCAACAGTTAATCCGAGTCTTTTTTGATAGAAGCAGTTATTTTATACTAGGCCAAACGCATCAGCTGTTTCCTGCACATTTGCAGGTTGTGCAGCACGATTGTTGTGTTCATAGTGTGCATCTGTTGGTCCTGCAGGTGCGAGACGAGATCGAGCGCTTCGGGATTAAAGTGTATCAGTTTCCCGAATGTGACTCTGATGAAGAAGAGGAGTTCAAACAGATGGACAAAGAGCTGAAGGTCTGGCAAACATTCAGTCTGAAATCTCCAGCCAAACTAAATCATTTAAATCATTTCACCCCATTTGGATTGCTTTTACCCTCACGATGGACTTTTTACTGCTGCCAACAGCTGGAGGAGTGAAGCTGATAAACTGCTGTTATGTGCAGATGTTTTTCATGAGGCAGATTAAAGTGTTGCTGCACATAAATATGTGTGTATATTGAATATTGAATGATTTATGTGTCGTGTGTGTGTTCTGTAGGAGTGCACTCCGTTTGCGGTCATTGGCAGTAATACAGTGGTGGAGGCCAGAGGTCAAAGGGTCAGAGGTCGTCTTTACCCCTGGGGTATCGTGGAAGGTCCGAAACACTCTAAACAAGTACAACAAAAAGGGGATTAATGCCTGGCAAATGGATTGTACATATTTATATTATGTTGAAATTTCAGCATCATTACTCCAGTCTTCAGTGTCACGTGATCCTTCAGAAATCATTCTAATATGCTGATTTGCTGCTCAAGAATCATTTCTGATTATCAATGCAAAAAACAGTTGTGCTGCTCCATATTTTTGTGAAAGTTATGGTACATTTTATTTTTCGAGATTCTTTTATGAAAATAAAGTATAGAAAAACTGCATTTATTTTAAATAAAAATATTGCAACATTATAAATGTTCACTTTTGATCAATTGAATGCATCCTTGCTAAATTATAAATAATAATAAGAATAAAAGCCTAATGTAAACTACAAGAAAGTTACAATGACGTTTTCCTGATTGTGTTTTGTTTTGTATGTGCAGCTGAAGAGAATGCAGGAGATGCTGGAAAAGATGCAACAACAGATGCACGAGAAAGACCAGTGATGCTCACACACACACACACACACACACACACACACACACACACACACACACACACACACACACACACGCGCGCGCACTACGGCCCTCTCAGCAGCCCTCAGATGTGAATGCATTTAAATGATACTGTACAAATATCATATCTACAGGTCTGAGCCTCAGATCCGCTCTGTTCATCTGCTCGGTGCTTCTGTCTGCCTGCATCAAAAACAGTGATTCATCATGAACATACTGTACATAAACCAGTCGAACTTAAATTCACTTCTGAAGGTATATCATTTATATTGACTTTTGATTTTGCTTAGTTCATTGACGTGTGTGTGTGTGTGTTTGGAGAGACAGTGATGTCCTTTTGCTATGAATTTGTTGTGTTCGATGGCGGTTTTGATTTTTATAGTGAATGTGAACATACAGTACGGCTCCAATAACTGTTACCAAGAAACATCCTCAGTTCAGACGTTTTTGCTCGTTTTCTAACAATAATAATCAGAATAAAATCTATTCCATTGTTATGAGTGTTAATGGCCTTTAATAATTTATATTATGTCAATTGTTTATGTAAATCTTGAAGTAAAGCTTGCTAATAAATGTGAATAATTTATCAGTTGTTGTTCGTTCACTATGGTTTCATATTCATATTTTTTCACATTTTTGATTAGTAATATGCATTGCTAAGAACTTCATTTGGACAACTTTAAACATGATTTTCTCAATATTTAGATTTTTTTGCACCCTCAGATTCCAGATTTTCAAATAGTTGTATCTCAGCCAAATACAAATTTCCAAACATCAATGGAAAGCTTATTTATTCAGCTTTCATATGATGCATAAATCTCAATTTCGAAAAAATTGACCCTTCTGACTAGTTTTGTGGTCCAGGGTCACATATATATTATTGCATATTTTACTATATTTATTTATTGACAACATTTGAATTGGAAAAATCTAATGTGCTGAAGTTCTCCTTTCCATTGATATTTTTGAACTAACATTGGGCCTTTTTGGCAAATCGGCAGGATATTTTTTTCTTTGAAGATGCAGGGCTTTGTAATCCTTCTATTGTTTAAAAGCACAAAGTGAACTGTGGTGTAGTTTTGCTGTCTGTTTCAGATACTGGATGACTCGTGTGCTCTTCATTCACTGGCCAATGCAAAGGAAAAGCGCTTCTGATGTCCCAGTGTCAGAGCGTGAAAGTGCGGCCCACTTCCGGTCACATATTGCTCGGAGGGGGCGGCGTTTGAGTTTATCAGTGTGACCCAGCTGTGTTTGATGCTGCAGTCTTAACACTCCTTCAGACTGATACTGACACACAGACACGCTGGTGACGCTGGTAAGAACCTCACTTTTCAATTCATCTCACATCTAAACAAATTACATAATACATTGAAGTGTCTCGATTGTTCGTCAGACAGCAATGAAGCTAAAGTTATCCTGAGAAAACCCCTGAAGAGCTTGTTTCATTTATTTAAGCAACTGTAGGAGAAACATCTGAGACCAAGTTGATACTTGAATGAAATATAACTGAGCTTTTGTTGTTGTTGTTGTTTTACTAAACTTGCTTAGGAAGTACAAATATGACAAAACATACACCACGGAAAAAATCCAGGGGTTCAAGGATGACCAAACAATACATAGCAATTACATTTCAAGAGAGAGAACGAAACATAATTTAATTTAATAATTCATGCATTTAGCAGACGCTTTTATCCAAAGCGACTTACAGTGCATTCAAGGCTATACGGTAATAAATAGGTAAAATTACATAAAAAGGTAAAAAGAAAAAAATAATAATAAATAAATAAGCTGATCACATAACAATAAAAATAATCTTTCCAACAAAACAAATGAATTATTAAATAAAAATGATGCAAAAACACTGAAAAGTGAGCTAGTTGCCTTTTTGTTACTGGAGGTAGATAAAGATTTAGGGGGGGGGTAACTTTCATAAACTTGCATTTGTGGATAAAATATTTTGCAAGCAAAATAATGAAGTTGCATAGAAAGTAAACATTTCCATACCGCTTCTCACAAGTGAAAGATCCGAACAAAACAAAGCTCAAAGTCATTGTGTATGAAGTTTACAACGATGCCTGGCCAAAGTTTTCTTGAATGAACACAATGCCAAAAAAGATGCAAGGCAGTTTCTGGTTGTGAGTCACAGAAAGTACAGTTCACATCTGTGCTTAATTAGAATTTTGACACAATAAAGGTTTTAACAGGATAGTATTGCTGATTAACCTAAGCCTGTGTTTCAGGAACGCCAGCTGCAGTTCTCCTGCTCACCTGCGGGGGCGCCTGCTCGTGTTTCTGTCCGAGGTGGAGCTGCTGGACTCCTGTAGTTACTGGCTGTGTAATCTGGCTCTGGCCTCTCAGATCAGCCTCTTCATCTTCACCACTGTGCAGGTGCTCCTGCTGGCCTCTGTCATCCTCTTCCTCCTGCGGTTTGAGCTGCTCAGCCGAGAGGCGCGGCGCGACGCAGAGTAATGAGTGCATCATGTTAAAAGACAGGAGCCTTTAGGATGAGCAAAACAAACAACTGTGTTCAGTTTCATTTATCAGATTACATTTTCCCTTTAAAGTTATCTGCTGTTTAGCATACATTTTCCAGGCATGCAATAAAAATGCTGCATGCAGTTTAGACAACCAAAGGTAATGTTTACTGTAAAAATCACCCTAATTGGGGAACATAAGGAGAAAATGCCTTTCTTTTGTACTTTCTTTGCAAAAAATTACCCTCTTTTGTAAACTTGATCCAATGGTCACAATGAACTGAACAATTTTGGTGCATATTTACAGGTGCATGTGTATGTGTTCTTGTTATTCATATCCTTTTCTTTTTATTGCTTCAATAAAAACAAAAACACACAAAAGCACAAAAACAAAGCGCAATATTACATTATTATTATTATTATTATCATCATCATCCCTTTTATTGTTGCTATACTTAACAGTACAAAAGTGTGTTTCAAATAATATAGGCCAAAAAATAATATATATATATAATATAACATAAAAAATAGCCTTATAATATAATTAATATAATATAATATAAATATAAAATGTTTCTCGCCGGACGCCGATCTGAATCTTAAAGGTGTAGACGACTGCAACGCTCTTGTTCTGCCTGGCACCAAAACCAAGAAACAAAAAGTAGAGCATCCTGTAGCCAAGAAAAAAGCCCTGACGAAGAAGCAGAGGAAGAACCTGGAGAAAGATCTGGAGCTGAAAGAGAAAAAAAAAACCCACGTAAGGAGAGAAAGAGTCTGTGAGATTGATGTTTCTGGAGGGTTTAGTTGATTCTGTTTGTTATATAGAAGTCATTTGTATGTTTCTCATTCTCCGCAGAGAGCAGGTATATTATCTAAACTAGCTGAGGTTCAGCTGGCCGAGTCGGAGCTCAAACTGCTGTACACCACCTCTAAACTCGGCACTGGAGACAGACTCTACCAGACCAAAGAGTAAGAGATCAAACCGTACAGGACTCTGACTTGCTTATATTGAAAATATGACAATACGTCACTGTGTAAGAAGATCAGGATGCTGATTCAACTACTGTCAGGATCAGCAGTGTGAGCAGAGCAAACAGAAAGAGAAGAAGAGCGGTGGAGGAGGAGGAAGAGAAAGAGGGATCTGAGAGATCGGAGGAGGAGGATGGTGAGGGGTCAGACTCCTCTGAGGAAGAGGAGGAAAAACCCACTGAAGATCTGCAGCTGCTGAGAGAGGAGGCCAAACAGAAAGAAACAGATGTTAAGGAAGAGAAGAAAGATCAAGACGTAAAGAAAGAAGACTGTAAACCTGCAGTGTTTATTCCTGTGGACCGACTGCCGGAGATTCAGGTACAGGAACCAGATTGGTTTTGAAGTGTGTGAGTGTGAGAAGTTTTAGTGTGTTTCAAATACAATGAATGCATTATATTATATTACATAGACCACATTGCAACTTATTCTGATGAAAGCTGGTCACTTAGACATTTAGTGGCTGCAATCATGCAAGTCATTCTAATATGCTGATTTATTATCAGAATTATCAATGTTGGCGACAGTTGTGCTGCCAAATATTTTTTAGGGAAACTGCGATACTTTTTTCAGGATTCTTTGATGAATAAAAAGTTAAAAAGAACAGCATTTATTCAAAATATAAATCTTTTCTAACAATATAAATCTTTGCTATCACTTCTTATCAATTTAACACATCCTTGCTGAATAAAAGTTTTAATTTCTTTCCAAAAAAGAAAGAATAAAAATGTACTGACCTCAAGCTTTTGAACTGATACTTTTTTCAGGATTCTTTGATGAATAAAAAGTTAAAAAGAACAGCATTTATTCAAAATATAAATCTTTTCTAACAATATAAATCTTTGCTATCACTTCTTATCAATTTAACACATCCTTGCTGAATAAAAGTTTTAATTTCTTTCCAAAAAAGAAAGAATAAAAATGTACTGACCTCAAGCTTTTGAACTGTAGTGTATACTGTTAGAAAATATTTCTATTTTAAATAAATGCTCTTCTTTTTAACTTTTTATTCATCAAAGAATCCTGA